CTCCTCGCTTGTGTATGTGTACTCTATCATGAATAAAATAAATAAACTTGGGAAATAAAAAAAAAAGAAAAAGAAGCAGCATGGGCAAGAGCTCTATTGAGACTCCATGTTCTATGGCACAGTGCACAGGCAAAGCAATTTGGACCTAGAAAACAAGGCTCTGTCTGCTTTGGGGTGATAGCGAAAGGTCAGTAATTCCCCGGGGAGATGGAGTGTGGAATGGAAGGCTGCATAAATTCTTGGTATGAACTCTTGGTTGCATTCGCTGAAAAATACCCCCACGAGGTAATGAACACAGTAACTTCCCGAATTAAGCAAACAGGAAATTTAGAGCTTTGAAATAAGTCTCATATTTGGAATAGTTGGAGGCTTTATGGGAAAATATATTTTATTTTAAAGGGAGAGAGGAGAAATCAAGATCGTGGATACGTAGGGTCTACTTCTGATTTGCTGCCAAAATATTAACCAAACTGCGTCTTATTAAACAACTCAATAATTTAACGGGGTAGGCTAATTAACCACAAACAATCAGGTTTTACTGGCATAGCTTTACCCTAACCAAGAGTTGGAAACTACAACACAGTACGTGGTCAGAGAGGTTTCAGAGTGAACCTCACCAGGACGGCTCAGAGTATAACTTCTGCTTTTCACAGTTTCCTTCCGAGGGCTCCACTGGGAGCTTGATGTCTGCAGCTAAAAACTGTGAGCCCTTCCATTTCTCTTGCAAAGGGATTTAATTAGACTCAGTTTTTACACACAATTCACACGTCTTCGATTGTTCTTTCTAAGCCCCTTTCAATATTGCTAGGGCTGCTAATTGCAGCCTGTCTGGAATGAGGGTGGGAGGGGGAAGCGATGCATGCAAAGAAAACATATTCTTTATTGTTTTCTTTACTTAATAAAGATGCAGCTGAGAAGTCTACCCACTATTTAGAAGGGGCTGTATTATGTATACTATGAAAGAAGGAGATTTGGATAATGATTCCATACAGTTAGCAAGAATCATTATTATTACATACTAACTGGTCCATAAAGAACAGAAGTCTTACACTCGCTTCGGCAGCACATATACTAAAATTGAAATGATACAGAGAATATCCACGTGGCCCCTGTGCAAGGATGGCATGCCAATTTGTGAAGCGTTTCATATTTTTATGATAATGTATATAGTAGTATCTTTGTCTTGACTGACATGCATGGTATTTGTGTTGGAAAAAGGAGTGTATACTGTAAACACATGATTTAATGTAAATAAATTTAAAGATAAATAATTTTTTTTTAAAGTCAAAAATCCCCTTGGGACTAGCAGGTGACATGGTGGTTAAGGTGCTGGACACTCCCACATAGCCAAACACGGTTCAAGTCCCGGACCTGGTGGCTTGCTTTCTCTCTCTCTCTCTCTCTGTCCCTCTCTGGTCAAATTAAAATAAATAAATAAATACATAAAATAATTCTCTAAAAAAAGTTAAAAAAAAAAAAAAGAAAAAGAACAGAAGTCTTGGCCAGTTAGAGTGACATATACTGAACATGCTTGGCCAGTTGAGGCCATGAAGGAGGATGGGTCCAACTCCCACCCACCCGTAAAAGCTAGGCATGATGGTGCACACCTGTGGTCTCAACTATGCAGGAGGCCGAGGCAGGAGGATTGTGACACGGGGAGACCCCATCTGAAACACCACACACACACACACACACTGAATTCTTATTTCCTCCTGTCTCTTGGGGGTGCCATCAGTTATCTGATTAGTTCAATTAAATTGAATGCTACATGCTTCACTAGGTAAATACAAAATAAAGGGAAGAAGAGAACCAGTGACTTCTGCAGAATGTCAGTAATCTGCAGATCCTGAAACCTTTCACTGCCTCCAACCTTTCCTGCTTCAAGTCAGCTTTCCTACCACTCATCCACTGAAGAACCTTGCTGGCTCTCTACTCTCCACAAAATAACTCCGTGAAAGCAAATCTGGTGAAAGAATTCAAGGCCTCTCATAATTTATCCTCAATCTGTCTTTCCAGAGACTCATAGAAGTGTCTAGTCATGCTCATCTATGGCTTTTCTTCACGCCCGCACGGTTTCCCTTATCTGTCGTGTTCACCCAGCAATTCTTCCTGCACTACAGCAGGGTGGTTACTAGCACAGCCTCCAGGTGTCAAACTTTCTTCCACTCCTTCATAGCTGAGCAATTCTGAACAACTTTCTTAATCAGTGCCTCAGTGTATCCCTCAACAAAACGGAGCTCATAATATTTATCCCAGAGCGTTGCCATGAGAATTAAGTGAGATGCATAAAGTGCTTAGAACAGTGTTTGGCTTTAGCAAGCAGGCAATGAGTAGGAAGGGACTTCAAAAATGTCACATAAGATGGAACTGAAGTACAAGTTTATTCTGATGCAAAAAAGTTTGAAACCCATGCATAGTTTTTTCATAATACACAAGTTCTACGAACTTTTTGAAGAAAGCTTGTGTTAACCCTGGTGATGGTAGCGGTGGTGCTGGAGGTGGTGATGTGACCAGAATACCTTTTCCTTAATCTACTTATTAAAATTTTGCTCGTTCTAGGCCAGTTCTATTTACACCTTCGCTAAGCCACCTCTTCCTTTCCCATAGTCTCAGTTTGTAGTTAAGTAGACAAAATGCACACCAAAGAGGAATGGTATGTGTGAGAAGGTAAGTAGGACTGGCTTCATAAAGTAACTGAGATTTGACTGGCAAATATCAATGATAGGATCATGAACGTAGGCTGGCAAAAAAGGGGAGGAACAGTCAATCTGGGTAACTGAGAGGATGGGGTGATGTGAGATAGGAAAAGGCAGAGTACTTGGAGGGGGAGGTTCTGAGTATTACCAAAGGTCACCCACGGGGAGATAAGATCGTAATGCTGGGAAACAGGACAGTTAGGAAAGATTAGTCATGTTGTGAAATTCCAGTGAACAGACCACAACAAATCATTTCATTTCTTCCATTACTTACCTTCTTAAAAAAATAATAAACATATGCAATACATGTTTATAATAATATCTTCTTTGCATTCATAACATACTGGTATTGTTAACAGGCAAATCAAACCTCTGTTTTATAGGAAGATGACTTCAAGACACCAGAACAATGCTCAGGTCTCCGATCATTAGCCAGGAAGCCAGAGTGGTCTTTTCCAGGTCACTGATGATCATATCAAGCAGTACGGCCCTGACATAGACCGGGTGGTACTCCATTCAAGTCTAGTCAGCTGGATAAACCACCCTGCGGGCTGTAGTCATGCAGCCAAATTTGTCCTTCGAGCTATCTGTAGTATCTCATCTACATATTCTTCACTCTTTTTTTTTTAATAATTATTTATTTAATTTTATTTGTTGTTATTATTATTATTTTAATATGACCAATAAGAGAGAGAGAGAGAAAGTGAGAAAGCAAGCTGCCAGGTCTGGGACTCAAACTACAGTATGGGAGTTTAGCACCTTAACTATAACGCCACCTGTCGGCCTCATAGTCTTCACTCTTTAGAGTAGGATTCCTGTCCTGTCCCAACACTTCTTCAGGCTTGAAAAAGGTAAGTCCATTATGGCCAGAATGGCTGGGGCCACTCAGCTGTAGGCAATGGGGACCTTTATGCGCAGGCTTCAGAAAGTCTATTGAATTCTCTAATTAACCCCAGTTTGGCAGCTGTATTAAGATTTATTCATCTGCTACTGAGATATAGGATTAATTCTCTATAGGAAAACCTATAGGTTTCTGGGCACCCATCAGTCTCCTCCTAATCACATTTACTAGGCTTTCCTTTAAGTCTCATTTGCAGAAAGACTTGAGCCTTCCCTGAACTTCAGTTCATTTGACCAAGGTTCTGGGACTCTGCCTAGCCTTTGGCATCCCCTGTTCCTTAGAGATTATGTCCCCAAGAACTGGCTGAAATTTTGTTCTCAACCAGATATAGCACTAACAACATTGACACTGCCATGGTTCTGTTGTCATCTTCTGCCTGCTGAATAGGACCACCTTAGAAACCAGCATGAGCGCAGTTCAGTCCTGAGGTCACTACTGGATCCTGCCCATTGGCAGTGCATCCTACACTTGGGCCAGTTTCCATAGACCAAGTGTGCAATCGAAGACCAGCTTGTGGCTGAGATCCCAGCTTGCCTGAAGATGACCTGGGTTGAATTTACCCTCTGGTCTATGTGGAAAGAAAAGACGTGTTCCTCTATAGGCTGGTTGACTATTTAGCAGAAGTCTGTGTCACTTTCAAGATTTTCTCTCTCTTTTTTTTTTTTTTTTGAGAGGTTTTTGCTATAGGGTGTGTGCGCTCGCCAGACAGACAGAGACAGACAGAGACAGAGAGACAGAAAGTGAGAAATCACCCCCAAGGGGGGATGGCTACATGGCAATCCCTTCTCCTCCATTCTCCTCTTGGGATCTTGGGCACGCACGCACACATGCCCGGCGTGAGTTTTAAGCCACCGGGTCCGACTACATGGGAGTCCAGCGACATCGCCATTATGCTAACTGCTGGTCCCTCTCTTGTTTTGTTTTGACCCGTCTTTAGTAAAGATGTATAATAACTTTAGTAAATTTAATAGTTAACAAACGAAAAAAATCTATTTTCTTTACTCCAAGTGACTTAAGCATTGAAAGATTTTTTCTGGTGGTTTTTCTTTTTTGCTGTTGTTTTTCTGCTTTTGCACTGGAGAGCCAGGCTTTATAGACAGCCAGAAGTTCTAGGCTTCCAGCCCCTCAGGAGGCTCAGTTAAGACTTAAAAAACCAGGGTCAGGAGGTGGCTTAGTGGTTAAGGTGCTGGACCCCCGCAGGACTGGCCATGGTTCAAGCTGTGAAAATTATGGCAGGGGCCAGCAGGTGGCATGGTGGTTAAGGCTGCTGGATTACCATATTGCCCACCATGGTTTGAGTCCCAGACCCAGTGACTCTAACAATGACACCAGGCACATGTGTGTGTATGCCCAGAATCCTGAGAGAAGGGAGAGGAAGGGATTGCAGCATGACCATCTCCTCTGGAGGTAATTTCTTACTTTCCCCATCTCTGTCTTTCTCTGTTTATCTTCAGTGAGTACATGTGCCCTATGGCAAAAACCTTTAAAAAAAAAAAAAAAGGAAAGGAAAAAAAGCTGAAAGAGTGAACACAAGAGCTGATATGCAAGTGACGTATGCCCCTACTGAGACCACTACAGGTAGAGAGACTTTTTCTTGAGAGGTTGTCCACGAGTTAGCTAGGGACTTCATTGGACTTGCAAGACGATGTTTAGTAACCATTGCCATCACATTGTCAGTCATCGGCATCATCATGATTTCAGCTCAAGTTCTTCAGGGATACACCTACATCTTTGTGTGTATTGTATTTTAGAAATACATTCTTTGTAAATAAAGTACTATAACATGGAATGGTGATAGAAATAACAATGTCATAATGCTGGGATTTATTTATTTATTTATTTGTTTATTTACTTATTTAATCAATCCAGTGGGTGTGTGTGAATTCACAAGAGATAGGAGGAGAGAGAAAGAGAGAGAGAGAGAACAACCCCCAGTGGGAGTCTGGTCATACTGCAATCCATTTTCCCCTCCATTTGGCCATCCCATCAGTATATTGGGTACACACAGGTCTGGTGTGTTTTTGAAGCTTCCAGGTCACGATTCAAACCATAGTTGGTCATGTGGGATAAGGCTTCCTCTACACAGTGTTTAACCACTACATGATAGGACCAGCCCTGGGTTTTAATTTTTTATGTACAACGTTGATTCAGAGAATAAGTGGACCATGCAACATGGTAGATGGTGTCGATTCAACATTTCAGAAAGGCTCTGCACAAAGGCCTGCAAGGATCTGGAAACTAGGCAGGTGCAGTGCCGTGTCCCCTAGCCTCTCATTACAGACTGGGAAGGAAATTCATCCATGATGCAGGGCGAGGGGCAGGGTACATACCTTGGCTGAGTTTAACTAGGACTTGCCTTGGTTGAAGAAGAGTAGACAAAACCAGGAGTGATACCCGCAGGATGGCAGCTTCCTACCATCATCTCCTCACAATATATGGCTTTTGACTATCACTCATGGACGGATACCTTGGAGTCCTAGAGTCCAGTGGAGAAGTCCAGTACACTGTTGAAAAAATATCCTAGAAGAGACACACTGAAGAGTGTCAGAAGAACAGT